TGCTGCTGCTGCTGCTGCTGGCCCTGCCTCCTCTTCCTTTCCCTCGACTTAGGAACTGGACACGGAAGCTCAAGCTCATTCTGCTTGTCTGGAGAAAATGGAAGACAAACAAAAAAAAGACAGGGGAATAAGAAAAACAGATTTAAAAAGGGGTTTTTTAGTCACTCCAGAGACAAAGACAGACTAGGCTCAGGGATGTGGGATAAACTGGGCTTGTGTTGCCACTGTACCGAGTATACAACGTTAACAAGGGGAGATAGTTGACCTCTCACACCTACATGACAACACATTAAAGTTGCACTGACAGTTGTTTAATTAGCAAGCAATCCTTCAGTTACAGTTTACTTTGCTGAAAATCTCATTTTTTCGACAGCGAAAAACAAAGAAAATGTAAACTTAAATAAAAAAATATTTACAGCAAAGGTGACAAGAATGTCATAATGACATATAAGGGTCAAAATGTGCTAATGAGATGTTATGAAATCTGACTATGCTCCAGTGGCCCGTGCATTCTGAGAAACTGAGCTGTGTTATAATAACAATCCACAGAATCATGGAAAGCTGGCTCATACTAAGCCAGAAATGTTTAGGGGAGGGCAGACTGGTTAGTATGCAGGTTTGTTTGGTGCATGTGATGCACTACGCAACTGACACTGTGTATGTGTGTGAGTGCAAGACTCCCCCGGTCTGTATATGTGCACCACATACACCGCAGTGAGAAAAAAAATAAAAATATCTCAGCTGCATCCTCTACAAAGCACAGGACGAGAATGATCTCACTACACCTGACAGGTGTTAGCTGCAATGCAGATGACAACAAAACCACTAAGCCTCAAAGATAAGCAGAGTTTCTTTTTGTGCTCTTGTGTTTGCCTCTTCTCCCCAAGCAGCTCTATCATGCAGAAATCTCTTTCACTGCACCACTTCTATTGTTAGGTATAGTTTTCTTCACAATGCATCCGTCGCCTCTGTTCCCTTTCAGGTTTTGCTCCACCGAGGTGAGAAGACGGAGGTGTGTTTACTAGCAAAAGCAGAACCTTAGTGTGCACACAGCCCTGATAAGCTGGCTGTCTGGGTGTATGCTGGTGGTGGTTGGATGGGAAGGTGGAAAAGCTGTAGGGCAGACTGGCTGGCTGGCCGTGAGTCACAAAACGCCGTTGGGCTTTTAAGAGACAAGGAAACACTGCTGTCCTCCTGATGAATAATGCAGTGTCTATCTGGACATGATGGTACACAAACATTTTCCCTCTCCCATTGCTCCTGATCTGTCCTCCCTCTAACCCTCACAGTTAGAATGAGGGGACTCTCTCCCCTCAGACCAGATCAGACTGGTTTGAGAGCAGTCGAGCAGACCAACTACGAGTTTCACTGTGACATAGCACATGCTTTGGATGCCCTAAAAACATCTGGCACACACAGACCTATAGAGGTGGCATGTGATGGTACAATGCACACTTCAACTTGTGCATTGTACCATCACTATTATTTATAGTATTTGTGTGTGAATAAATGCTGCAGTGCTCACCTAGGAAGGTGTTGGAGATGTACTCTGACACTTGGTTGCCTGAGCGACTCATCTCAGACAGGTGGCTCAGCTCCCGGTTCAGCATCCTCTTGAACTGGAGGAACAGAGATAAAAAAAAAAAAAATACATGGGGTTAAAGGAAGGAAATACAAGGAAATAGACATTCATTACATCATTTTACTGCTGCTTGCGAGCAGAGGAATGAAGTATTTCCTGTTATTTTCCACTGGAATATGTCCCATGAGAACACGGCCTCTGTTATTTATGCGCTTTATAAGGTCTGTGTTTATGTCTTCTTGGTCCAGTTAGCCACAGAGACACTTGACTGCCTCGCATTTCAACAAACAAAACACAGTGCATAATACACAAACTACAGTGTTGAATGTTTATGCTGAATTCTTCCAGGGAAACAAGATGCAGCAGTTTTCCTCAGTGCACGCAAGTCTAATCTAATGAAGTGTGTAATTGAAAGAAACTACAAAATCAGTGTGGGAAATCAGAGACATTTCACCAGCTGCATTGACAATACATGAATATTCAGTATGTGCATATATGCACGCACGCACACACACACACAAACACACAAACACAACACACCACCACACACACACACACAGACAGCCATCTATTTTCCTCTGGGACACACCTTGATGTATCCCCAGGACACAGAGAACAGGTAGTTGGCCTCAGGCATGGTGCTGAGCTGTGCTGAGCCCCTGGTGCTCCTCAGCAGAAGCCTTGTATGCTCCTCTCTGAGTGGACCCCCAAGGCTGAGCTCAGCCCTACAACCTGAAGCTCAAAGCAACACCAAATCCCCGCCTTCCAACGGTCGACTACGGTAAAACTGCCCCAGTTGAACTCTTCAGAGAGGGTCTGTGGAAGACCCCTACATCCCCGGCCAAATGCGCTTCCTCATAGTGTCGCCCACTGTTTTCCAGGATTGCAAGCCGCTGGCGAGAGTGATGGAATTCCCCTGGATGCAATCAATATTTCCTTTCCTTTTCTCTGGTGCTCACTGCCTCGGTCCGTCTCTCTAAACCTCTTTCACCTCCTGCCACCATCCAAATGTTATCCAGTGACATACAAGGGGGAAATCCAGCCTTCCCAAGCCCAGATGGAGCAAGGCAGGGAGGAAGGGCAAGCTCTAAGACAGACGGAGAAGGGAAAGGAGGGACGGAGAGAGGAGGAGGAAGAGGAGGGGGGAGCGCTCTAGCTGTAGAGTCCCCTGGGGCACACAGGCTGATGGAGTCTTCTCTCTCTCTTTCTCTCCCACCCTCTCTAAACACTGAGCAATGCACAGCACTGCAGAAAATGGGAGTTTGGAGAATCCCCCCACAGCTTTCTCTCTAGCCATTTCTCTCTTCTCCCTCACTCCTGTGCTCTCTGCTAACCCCCTCCCACTGTCTCTTTCACCCCCCCACCTCCGTTTTCCTCCCTTCTCAATCCGCTCCCCCTGCTCAGTAATGCAGAACAGATCCAACGCATACTGCGCAATGCGAGGCTTCAAAGAGTGTTTATCACACGTGTGAGGAGACGCTGGGCATTCATTTACCAGATTGTGTCTCTTTTTGCACATTGCAGGAGTAAAACCATACGCGGCTGCACAAACTTCAGCCCACAGTCACTACAGTACATTTTAAAAGACCTATTGTTGTTCTCATTTTCAGCCATTGTTCACAATATTTTTGAAAAACAGCAGTTTTCTGTCTCACTGCAGCGGTTTTCTGTATTGAAAGACACAAACAGAGATGATGGGAGACAAACAGATGAGAGAGTTTTCAGTCTGCCGCCCACCAGAGTACCACCAATTGCACGACAACCTGAACGCCATGGCAACAGAGTCACGTGGCCCCCCTCCATCGTTCTCATGGTGGTCCCCACTTTAAAGTCATTGCACCACACACACACGCAACATGCATGAACAACCACACATGCATTCAAAACACAGTCTACAACAGAGATGCTCTAGAGAGACACAACTAGACGAGACGCTGCAGAAAAACACACTCAGACACAATTTCTGTTTCAGAAGGTAGATTCTGATGCAAAATGGCTTTTTTTGTCAGAAGAAAGAAACAGTAATGCACAACCACATCCTAATCTTTATAATGAATACAATGGAATAATTGTGCAATTAATTCTTTTTCCTGATAATGATTGATGTGAATGATTGTAGTTTCCTGTTTTTATAATGTCTTCAAACACTATAAGAAGAAAAAGCCAGCCATGAATATGCCTTTTGCCAGGGCTCTTTATTTCTTACAATAGGGTCTTTTCTCTTCAAACTGAACCAGACTCTCTCTGGTCTCAACAGCTGTCTAATAGCTGTCAAGCAGACAGCTAACATCTATTTGACTGTGAAACTTGAATACCACTTTCAAAGCGCTGGCTGCACTCAAAACCCAGACTGCCAGAGGCAGTCCATAAAAATCAAAGAGAGCTCGTAAGGACAAAAATTTGAGCTTGGAATCGGAAGGCTTTATTCCATTCAAAGGGAACTTGTAATTGATTCTTTAAGGCAGCGGAAAAGTGTGGATTTGTGTGACCTCTAGGAAATGAATCAGGCACAGAGCCACATGTCAGTCACCCAGGGTCATGTAGTTCAGCTTAGACACACAGCATACGCTCACGGCATTGTGACAAGTCTATGAGTGTTCTCAAGAGAATAGATTACTCAATGCATGTAGTTTACTCATACATCCTTTTACGTTAGCAAGGACTGACACTCAGAACAAAACCTTGTTTTAGGTAACCTAGAGAAGTTACATTACCAAAAAACTCGTGGTTAGTTCTTAGCAGATGAAGACAGAAGCTGATGCCTCATAACATATGAATATTCAAAATAGGTGCACACTGAAGTCATTGTCTTGCAAATAGCAACGTAAATAATATGTTTAGGTGTAAACCAGAAGAACTGTTTACACCTGAACCCATTTAAATTAAAACAAAAAGCTTATTAAATCTTTCTAATCTAATCTAATTAAAACAAAGTATTTTTAAGACAAGTATCCCACCATATTACCAACTGTTTTGTTTTACTGAATCCTAAAAACAACAAGATCTCTAACTAAATTCATTATTTAAACAGGTTTTCTAAAAGACAAAAATATCTTCGGTCAAATCAATTAATCTATTCTTGGATAAATTACACTCTCCACAATGCCACAGCACAGTGTAAGAGGCTCCACAACTAACTCACCTTTTTCCAACTCGTAAGCATCCCAAAGTTTTTCTTCTGCTTTTCAGAACAACATAGTCCCATTGTCACTTAACATAAAAACAAACACAATCTGAAAAGAAATGCTGTAAAGTCCTATGAGCAATAACTCGGTTCAGTGTGTCTGAGGCGCTTGCCTGCTTCCTCTCTCTCTATTCTTGTTTCTGAAGTGGAGTCAGGCAGGAAACATATAGCGATAAAGCTGACTTGAGTTGACTGGCCTACACAGTCTAACAAGAGATCAATGGCTCCTCCCTCCAACACAGGCCCGAGCATGTGTCTCCACCTACTTCCCTTTTACTTAATCGAGTAATTCACTGAGGTCACTTACTGGTAGTCATCCTGCTTCCTAACATGGCCTCAGGCACTAAACAACTAACATACCTGAGCTAATCACTGAAAAGTCCCAAATAACAAGTTTAGCAGATAGCCGTGTTGACATGATGTGAAGGAAAGATGTATGTATGTGGGATGAGTCTTTAAAATTTGGCTGACTTTTTACAGCACACTGACCTTGACTGAAAAAGAGCAGAGATAGAAATGAAATTGCACTGGAACAGCTTGACATCATAATGCAATACCTCGGCTGTGCAATCTGACAAAGCCCAGAGTGATCCAATGCTGCCTCTATACCGTGTGTGGCTGTTTACAGTGTCAACACACATGGATTATGCCTCGTGAGTTTTCATAGTTTGGTAACATTACAAAGACACATTTCCTAGAAGGTGTTGATGAAAACTAGGTAAGAATAGGGTTACAATAAAAGCAGGTTTTGTATTTACCTCCCTCATCCTGGCTTATTTTCCATGATAACAGCAGATTACAGAGGTAAGACTTTTTAATTACAATTAGGCACCATAATCACTACTGCAGCTTGGCTGATCTCCTCACCGCCCTTACAGTCAAACTGAATCACAACACTATAATTTAATGTCCATTACCCCTGCTACTGCTACAGACCCACCGCTACATCTGTTTCAATAATTTTGTCATTTTTTCCCCTCTGAAGATGGCGGTGCTTCAAAGTTGAAGTGACCACACGTGAGTTAAAGTTTCCTACAGGCTCGCGCTCTGCTCGGGGGCTCGCTTGCACGCTAACCCGCAAAGCGCTAAACCCCCTCTAACTGGATTCAGATGGCAGTGTTTGTCCAAGGTCGTCACCAGCATCAGCATGGAAGTGTGGCCAGGCTAATGATAGTGAGGGGCAGGGAAGCAGCTCCCCGCTCTGAGGTCACAGCAACCAGGCTGGCGGTCAGCAGGGTGTGTGGTCCCGTAGCCCCGGATACACCTGTGCCCTTGGATACTGAAAGTGGAGACACCCTGGGTTTGATCTGGTTCCGAAAAGAAACGGGCTCTTTGTCAAACATCACGTCATGTAAATGCTGGGAGGGAGCAAAAGCCTGCAGATGCTGTATTAATGGTGCAATAATGAAACCGTTTTGACATCAATTTGGCAATAAAAACGTGAATGGACCAATAAATGATTTCTATCCATCCCTGTACAATTGCACAACCATCTAGCACAGTGACAAATTTAAACTGTAACATTATGTACTGTTGACCTCCACTCTTTCAAAAACAGCATTGGTCAACAATGCTTAGTGGTGGTACTGGGGCCATGCTGACTCTGACTCACGGCGAACAATGTGCCCGTCCTGCCTGACCGAGCGGCTGTGCTGCTGCGTGCCTGCAGGGCCTTGTGCTCATTGTCTTGACAGTCCCAGTGACGTGGTTATCTGTAAAGACTCAACCTGGCTGCATGGTTAAAGCGCCGCTATTGTCGTCTGGTAACCAGGGAGCAGTAGAGAGGGGGCAGCAGGGGGCACGGGAAATAAAGAGACAGGAAACTGGTGTCACGGTCACAGTCACCCGTCACAGTCTGACAGCACCCCTCCCCATCCCAATCCTCCCTCAGACCACAGTGTAGAATACAGACGGAAATGGACAACACCACCCTGGGTGTTTATAATCTGACGCCGCCACACAGTCTCCTCTGTCTGTGTGGGGGTTGAGCAATACTCTGCACTGTATAGTAATTTGGTAAAGCTCTGCACAAATTAAATATGCATGAAAAAAAGTAATTAGGGAAAAGGGAATTTAGTTCTTCTTTGTGTAGTCTTGAAGTACCACAATGTGTTTATTGAGATTCACTTAAACCAAACCAGAAAGCTGAATTATTTTTTCTGTCATGCCAATTGATGAAAATGGATTCTTTATGTTTTTTCGCCACAGTAACGGGGATGGAAATGTCTATTTGTTTATTTGAATGGATATTTTTATAGACATTCATGGTGCCCGGAGGATGTTCCAATGACTCCCCTGACATTTCCTCTAGAATAATCATGAGGGTGACATTTTTATTTTTCCTTTTTCTTAACAAGTAATGGATTGCTTGTCATGAAGTTTGGTGCAGACATTCATGTCCCCCTCAGGATGAATTGTAATAACTTTCTATATAGCACCACCATCAGGCCAAAACTCCACAAAGCTGCTGGCATAACTGAAGATTCTTAGAGATTTTTGTCAAAAAAAAATTATTTTAATAACTTGTAAAGTACTTTTCTAAAGCCTTTCTATAGTGTGCTCCACATATTTTATTTTTTCTCTTTTTACAGAATCTCTCAAATTAACTCAATATTGGTTTACTTCAAGTCATTTGCATTTCCTCCCATTAATATGCAGAATGTATTAGCAAAGCAGTTGATGGAGTTCAGCCACATTTCCCTGCTAGTGACAGACAGTATGTTCAAGTTTGGCCACTTGTCAACATAGAAATATTCCTCCATGTGAGGCACTTAGCTCTTTAACATCTATGTTGGCATTTTTGGTTTCCTGAAATGCTAGTAGGTGAAATTAATGATAACATGTATTGTTTTAACTGACCACACTGCAAAAGTGCCCTCTGCTCCTTTGTTATATATTGTATTGTTACATGCAATATTGTATATGTCTGCATATTTGTTAGAAACGCAGAAATGTTTGATCTGACAACTCTGACACAAACTCGAACACAAAACATTAGCCATTGTTGTAGCACTACTTCCTTGATGAAAAGCATACAGTTGAAGTGACCTTGTCTGCTCCATAGCTAGTGGAAGACTATTAATACAAAAGGAGAATAAGTGGAGTGCTTTCAATTGGTGGTCTCAGCACCACACGGAGTAATGAGGAAGCACAATGTACCTGCCAGTGAAGTATACCTTTAAAAAGGCAGTGTGAACTTTCCTCTAACGAGTCTTCATTTTCTCTGTTAATCCTAAACTATACTGTGGTCCACTTTCTCAAGTGACGTCATCATAAAAGGTCACATTGTCCAATGTCCCACTAAGCTGGACATCACAAAAGAGCGAACATCCACATCACACTCAAATGAAAGAAACGCATCTGTGTGCAGTTTAAATCATATTACATGTCCATCTGAAGCTCAGCCCGTCGTATAACATGCCATGTGTCTCAATTCGTTTGAATAAGGTGAGGCAATTGAAGCAGAACAACGCTTTCCATGGAATACAGGCATTTATGTTACTCAAAGATAACAGGAACTCAGTAGTCATGTATGCAAAACAAACATTACTCATACTTTTTTTTTTTTATCCATAAAATGATGATGCCAGCTCAAACACTATCACAGAACAGCAGTTACTTTGCAAGTGCGTCAATGTGGCAAAAGGCAATTTACATTTTGCATACACTGTGCAAATTGACAGCCACGCTGCAACAAAGACCAATTGTACAGCTGCGTGTAAGTCAGTCAGGTCATCATGCAGTTCAGTCATATTGTGTCTTCTAACAGCGTACTGCAGAATACATACTGTGATGATAATCATTTTGTAATATTGAACAGCTATTAGATAATACTGAACCTGTGATATTATGTAAATTTTGATTTGGGGGACATGACACTATAAAGTGGCGGTGTGCTGTCTTCCTCTGAGGTCTTATGGTGATTATCATCTCAGTGGATAGAGCAGTCAAAGACAAGTTGCACTGTAAGACATCATATATACCATGAAGAGCATATTTAATATTTAATATTAAAACTTGCAGTTTGGAGATTTACATTTTTTCTGCAAATTGTGTATTCTAGAGATATTTATAGTTATTCGTTGTGGTTATTTCCCATTTATCCAATGTGAGTTCATCAAATTATTCACATCTCTTAAAACTTTCTGGAATTTTGTTGGGTTGCTATTTACCTGAGATCCCTCTATGCATGATTCCCTTCAGCTAAACATGACACTAAAATGTTTTGTTTTAAAGAAAAAAAAAATTGTCTTCCATAACAGGCAGCTCAAATGAAAATCAACATCAAAAACTGCAATTCCAAAACAAAAGTCCCATCCATCAGAGGACAGACTTTTTAAAAGTCACGTTACTAGACGTATGGATGCAAAAACTTCTTATAAACTTCACAAATGCACTGTTTGCACATTCACATACAATGTTCTATAAAATATAAGCTAAATTGTCCTACCTTGTTGGAGGCCATGTCGCTAACTGAGCGGTAGGTCTGGATGGTCTCCAACTGGTCCAGACACCAGTCCAGCTCCTCCATGGTCTCCATAGCCAGCTTCTGGTAGGACTCATCTGCCAACAGACACATGGACACGTAATCAGGCCCAAGAGGATCCATGTCCATAGCCGAGCCCCCCGACACCATGCGTGGAGGTCCGAGGGTCCCAGAGTGGCTTGATCTTACGGAGGACTGGCCTGCAGGACATCCGGAAGATGCAGAGGAAGAGGGGGAGGTGTGTACACAGAGCTCCTTCATCTTTTTACAGTCCACCACCTCAGAAAGTTCAGGGAAGTAGTATTCTCAGACAAACTGAGGCTAGAGTTACTGTTTGCCGACTCTCTCTGTAGTCTCTTTCAATCCATATCCCCCTCTTTCCCTCGCTCTCGTGTGCTCTTCAAACCCCCTCCCTCTCTGTCAGGTTCCCCCGCCCCTCTTGTTCGCTGATCCCCCCTCTCAGTTCCACTTTGTTGAGCGAGTGGCGTGCAAACTAGGCGGTCTGCTGCCTCCTGCTGTTGATGTGTCTATGACCCCCCCCTCCCATTTAAACACATACAAATTATGTGTACATAAAGGTTCAGTACACAAACCCACTGCCCGAAGAGGGGCTTTTGGTGAAAGAGACCCACCTGGCTTTGCCTTTACTCCCATCATGATGTTTCTAACCCAATCAAATGCATCTCTATGATGTGTAATACATTAAAACTATGGGGGGAAGAAGAATAGAAGGGGTATGGAGTAAGAGAGAAAAACCTTTACGAAATTATTCGATGCACTTTGTCACTGCTGCAAACCGCTCCAACCCCCTCCACTCACGGTGACTTCCTTTTTGAAACATGCAGACCACTTCAAGGCCGTACTCTGCTGAACTGCAGCAGCAGCAGCTCACACCACACCACCATGCTTCACAAACTGGCTATCTCCTCTATGAACCTCTCTGAGGGAGAAAAAGAAATGTAAATTAAACACCAAACTCTGTGTTTGCACAAGCAACACGAGAGGCAAAGAGGCAAACTTTGACTCAGAATTTTTGGGGGGGGGGGGGCTAGGCCAGGGGCTCACCGTGTGCCAAAGAAACCAAAGCACTTCCTCTTTGGCCCTGAACTCACACAAAACATGGAGCGGAATTACTGAATGGTGGAATGACTACTGAGGACAATCATAGCTGTCATTTGATGAAATAGCTCTGTCGTTAGCAGCTATGACTCATATGTGGTAGATGCACAAGTTTTAGAAGAAAAGAAGTGGTTTATGTGAAATGCCCTGAGATGATAAAACATGAGGAAATTAATTAAGAAGGATTGATATCTGATATACCGGGCAGAATGTTGATTCAACAAATTTCTGCCTGGTGGGAGTGAACGCTGCGCGCATCTGGATCTCTCCACCTTCTTTTTCTATGGAAAAGACTGATCTCTACTTCATAGGGATTCACACATGGAAGAAATTTACCCCATATGCTTAGCACAACAGGACAGCCAGCATGCTGCTCCCCAATTTACGTCAATATAGTGGATCAAAGTACTTCAAAGCACAGTGATGGCGCACAGACTCTGAACCAACCACCGGTGTTTAACAAAGAACTTCAATGAAATCTCAGACAATAAATGTGCATTTGAAGAAACCTCCCACCATTGAAAGATATCAGAAAACCATGATAACAGTGACTCTTCTGAATCAAAAAGGAGAGTCAAGTTTCAACAGTCTAAGCCTGACTGCGGTTTTTAGAAATCAGGCCACTGGTTCCTCAGATTACACCAGCACGACTGCTAGCACTAGACTCATTCCTCAGGTCAGACCGATTTTCCTTTACTTTAGTTCCAGGTTGGAGAATTCAAAGAACCCTTGGCTACAATATACCGCTGGACGCCAAGCTTCGTGGTCCAAACTTTTCACAGGAACCACTGGCATCCAAGCCATGTAAAAGTCAGTGACACAGAGCAGAAATCAAAGCAACACATGCACAAGGCGGCGAGCTGTTGAAACTGGGTATACACCAATGTGCGGCCGTCTTGAGCCATAGGGGTAGGAGACGTTGCCAAGAAGGTGCGACCACATCCTGCCCACGTTCCCTTCAATGAGGGCATATAGACACATTAACGACATTTTAACGGGGAAGTTGGGAAACATCAAAGGCTTGGCATATCCCTACTGCCTGTATGACCAGGATTCAGGTCATTCTGAAGCTGGCGGCTGATTCATATACAGAGTCCAGAATCTGATGGCAGTAAAAACCCTCAGATGTAGACTGGAGAACAAAAGTTTACTGGTTTTGGTGTCTGGCTTTAAACCACTTGCCTACAGCAAGATCACTGAAGCAGAGCTTCACGTTTTCATCTGTTGTGTTTTATAAAAATGATAACAGCTGGACTTGGGGACTCTTTCCTCTAACATGACTCATGTAATCAAGTTTGAGTTGAAGTAGTATTTAAAAAAAAGTTCTGCACGCACACAAATAGTAGGAGTACAGGGGAACTGCTGAATCCATCATCACTTCTGGCTGATCATAAATACAGTAAGCTAAATGGGCTGACAGACATTTCACAATGTCACCAGTCAAAGGTAGTGTGACGCACTTTCAGTCTGAAAAACCTGCTCCCAGACAGAGTGTGAGGTACTTTTCCAGCCTGTTTTTTCAGTGGAAGTCTATTTTTTTTCTTCTTCAGTGAGTCCTAATGCTTTGGCCATATGCTGGAGGCTGCAGAGAGGACAACAGACCTCAGTGTGCAGACAGACCCCATCTGCCTCCCCTCTCTCCCCCTTTTCCCTCCAACTCTCTCCCCTATAGGGCCACAAACCAACCTCTGTGAGACCCATCAACTGCACCAACGACCGGGTCTGGGCTCAAACATCTCCCCCACCTCCATTCCCGCCCAAGACACCTTCCGCTCACATCCACCTCACACTGCCCCTCTCTGTGTTGTTAACCTACCCACACACACACAAAAAAAAAACCTGTTTCCCTCACTGTCTGGCTGAAGCTTGGTGTGCACAACTGGACTGCCTCATCTATCATACCACCTACTGATAAGCTACAGCCAGAGGTGGATGAAATATTCAGATACCTAAGTAATAATTTTTCATTTTGTTATTACTACTTTTAAAAAAGGTCCCGTGTGTAACATTTAGGAGGATCTATTGGCAGAAATGGTACATTTTTATTAGTGAATAATCACCTAAAAATAAGAATTGTTGGGTTTTTGTTACCTTAGTATGAGCAGTTTTAATCTAGATAGGGAGTGGGTCCTCTTCCATGGAGGCCGCCATGTTGAACCACCATCTT